TTAAAAAGTAAATTAAAAATAGCTAAACATCAACTTCAAAATAGTTCACCTAAGTTTCTACAAGATATTAAAAAATAACTTTTTAAAAAATACATATTTTATTGATTTTTTACAGAGAGGAAGGGAGAAGGATAGAGAGTTAGAAACATCGATCAGCTGCCTCCTACACACCTCCTATTGGGGATGTGCCTGCAACCAAGGTACATGCCCTTGACCGGACTCGAACCTGGGACCCTTCAGTCCTCAGGCCGATGCTCTATCCACTGAGCCAAACTGGTAAGGGCTAAAAAATAACTTTTATTGTCATAAAAAATGAGAAAAATATTTTAAAATGACAAAAATAACTGAAAAACAGAAAATAAAAAGATGAGCTGAAATTCAAATGCGGATTATTTAATAGGGCATATGGCTATGTACAAGAAACTATTTTTCCTTTGTAATAAACATAACTTAGTTCTCAAAGACTTGATTAATAATAAATAACTTAAAGCTCTACTACGCCTGCTTTGCATCTTCAAATTTTCTAGTTATCATCGTTTTAAGAAGTTTACTTCTGAAGAGATATTATAACACAATTGCAATTAGGAAGCTAGAAGAAATTATTCTGAATACCTGAACAGAAAATAATTTAAACTGGGCCATTTAAAGGGAAAAAAAACAAGGGAATATTATGAATAATTTAGAATACAAAGGGGAAACTAATTGGAAAATAAATCTCTAATCTAAAACAAATTAGTAAATAAGCACTAAGTCACTTTGATGATGCCATTTAAGAAAAATAACATCCGGGACACAAGATGAGTCCATTTTGTTAACTGCAGGTGGAGTATCTGCCTCAGGAGGTGTCTGGTGCTGCATTCGGAAGCCTATACTCATCCATTGGGGACAATCCCCTAACTCTTAACAAGGCTGACAAAAGTCACGGCTGCAACGGGAGAGTGTACGAACTCTATTTCTACCTCCAGCCAGGAGGAACCGACCACAAAGACTGGTAGGATGATTAGTGACCACCCTACAATGTTATCTTTACATGGCTAAGTCCTGGCCAGGACAGGTTCACAGGGGAAGACAGGAACAGGGGGAGGCAAAAGGGACTATGAGATAGAGATGTAAGAGCTACGTGTTAAATACATATCATTTCCTTAATATGAACTTCATTATTTCTATCATGCTTCTTATCTGTTCCACTATTTTCATACATCATGTGGTAAAATCATGAAGGCTTTAGAAGCTGTGTTTGTCCTAAAGCTGCCTATCAGAGAAGAAAACACTTCCCTGACCTTGTATTATTTCCAGTTTTCTCAGTGGCTCCCTCCTTTCTTCCAAAGCTATTCTTTCTTCTACTGACATATTCCGTATCGTCCACTCTGCCGATCTCTCCCCACCATCTGCCCATTAGGTTGATTCAAAAAAGCAAGCACATGGGAAAGGATGTCACTGAGCAGGGGAAGCGGGGATGAGGGTGGAATCTGCACGCATCCGTGGAGTGGACCAGCTGCTCTGACATTACGGAAAGAGAAAATTTCCATGCAAACAGCATTTCACTCTCTTCCTCACCCTAACTATGCGCTTTACAACAAAGTGTATGAATGCTTTTGATTGCTTCTCAGTAACATTGAAGGAAGGGGGTCAAATCCCGTTTGAATAGAAGCTACATCTTCTCTTAAAGCACTTGAACTCGCAAAAGAACCCAAGGCAGCAAGCATGCTCAGTTCAGAGGACCTGGTTCTTCAATCCACATGTTCCCCTTCCTCGAGACACATGCTTCTCTCAACGCTAGAATTTTTTTTATAAAAGCCATTACTGTCTCAAGCAAGAGGGTGAATGACTACAAAATACTCCCCTTCCCTCCAATCCACTGAGTCGGAGTAATTGCTCAGATGAGAGCATGTGACTATATTCCTCTATGCTTTAATTAATAAATCCAAGATATCCTTCCATTAGGAGGCTAACGACATTCAATTTTACTGTCCTAGTTTTAGTTAATCTTCCATTTGAATTCCTTCTCTCACATGCTCTTTATCTCAAGCAGTTAATGTAATTTCCTCAGGTAGCAGGTCACCATTCTACCATTCTTATCGTTTTGTTCTTTGCTTCATTCTTTTGTAGCCAGTCTCTTTCCCACTCACAAGCCCTGCATTTTGTCATTTTGTTACCCATTTAAAGCCAATATTTGCCTAGCTATACTTACTAAAATTTTAAAATATCCCACTGCTCAAACATTAAGCCCACCTTTAAATCCTTTCATAATGTCTATTTGCCTGAGAAGACTGCCCAATAAGGTCAACCGCTGAATAAAAGATTAGTTGCACATAGTTTTAAAAAATTGAATTAATTAGACCTTTTTCAATAAGATAGATATAGTACCAACATTTTCCTAAATTACAAAATACCCTTAGATGACATGAAGTGTGCAGTTACAATACCTTCATTTTATCTGAACAGGGTTCTAAGGCTTTACCTCATTTATGCTACACCGTCCTCAACAGGAGCTAGGAAAAATCTAAAGGACATCTCATCTCTTCCAGTTATGTAAAATGCTAGTGACTCAAATACCAGCAAATACTCCCCACATTTGCATATTCTGCCAATCACTACTCTAGGTATCTAAGTAGCATGAATTTGTTTTTCTTAGTCTTATCTAGTGGGAATTGTTGAGTTAGCTGAACAAGGACCACATCTTGCATAATATGTGGGTGGAAAAAAGACATGTAGGTTATGATTATTACAATATCTTTATTAACTCCAGGTTCACATACTCCCAACGTTAAACCTATTTTACCAACTCTATATTCTGTTTACCATATACTGCAACCAATATAATTAAACTTTTTAACATGTTTCAGGACTATTATAACAATGATTTTTCACTGGGGAAAAATGCTATGTAATTTAAGAGCTTTCTGAAATAAAGTTATGATTTCCTTTTATGGAGAAAAAAAATCAGATAAAAATCTCTAAAAAATTAATTTCAAAATATGAGTGCAAATTCCATAAAAATATCTACTCTGTTGTTCGGAAATAAAAATTATATTTTAACTGCTTTTGTTTTCTCTCAAAGTATGTTAAAAGATATCTTTGTCATTGTTTATGTTGTTGATTTTTTTTCCTGAAAAAAAAATAATAAAGATAGATTTTGTGATTTTCCAGGAATCTCAATGGGCTTGAGCACTAAACTAAAAAATGCAATAATAATTATATTCATTAAAAAAATCATATGTACTTAATAAAATATTTATGTATAGCTGCTTTATAAATAACGTACTACTTATCTACTAAAGTGAACAAAATATATTTAAATAAGCTTCCACATCCTATAATTATATGTGAAAACAAGTTACACTTGAAAAGAATGTTTAAAAGGTAGTTCATAGCCAAATGTTTCCAAACCAACATTTTATAGTAATTTTCTAAGAAAATCAAATTAAATAAAGGAAGTTAGAATTCATAGACCTCTTATTATCTTAAGAAGTTCTTGCAGAGCACTGAACACATTATGTATTGAATTTTATGTAGGGAATGTAAAAATGATGCCTTGGCCATAGTGTTTGATGTCAAAGGTGAATAGATATGTGGAGTTTTGGCATTTACTTTGTAAGGTTAAGATTCTTAAAAGACTGGTGAAGATATAGATTCAAAATTCCCCAAACCTTTAGACATTGCATTTAGCTCTGCATATGCCTTAGTATTCTTCCCAGATCTTTTGATCTTTTATAAACAATTAGGTGCATCCAAATAATTGAAATTAGCAAGAGGAGAAGGAGGAGGACAGGGGAAGGAAAGAATAAGGAAAATATGTCAGGAGTTTGTTTTCCGAATTTCTGGAACTGGAGAAAATAGGATTATCCCATTCAACTAATAAAAAAATGAAGCATGATTCCAGTAATTGAAGGTGAAGGTAGAAGATGTAACCCACAGCAACCACCTTCTCTAACATTTACACCTATCTCCTCCTTTACAAACCAATTTTGTAATAAAAGTTATTAAAACCTCAATCACCAAAAATGTATTTATTAAACATATGGTATAAAAGGTGGTGCTACATATAGTCCTGGCCCCGAGGAGTAAAATGTCTTTCAAAAAGTTGTCATTCCTCTCTTGAGGCCCTCTGCTGGGGAAACAGAATCAAGTCTCGAACAATGCCTTTAAAATTTTATCACTAGCATTATAGATGGAGGGCAGTACTATATCATACCTCTGTGAGTGTAAAATATCTTGTACCTGCTTTATGATACATAATAGTGACCATGCTTTATCAGAGCTGGTTTTAATGATGTTATTCTAGAATGTTTTCTTTCCAGATGATGACAAAGAAGCTAATGAAAAAAAAATGGTGCCAGGTATCACAACAGTAACAGAACTTTGCTGTTTTCTGGACCTTTTAATCTTTTTCTTTAATGGTTTGTGCTAGATATCTCTATAATTTTGTTCACATGACTGCAGAACTTAGAAAAACTCTTGCTGCTATTGATGCATACTGCACTGCTATTGGTCTTTTTATATAAATATATAAAAATACATTTTTTGAATTTTTGGAAGCTGTGCTGTCAACTTCAGAAAAACTCCCCCATTGTACTGAGTTGGGTTGGCATTGTACAGAAATTAACAGCCATATCGGTCTAGAAACATTCAACAATGTTTCCACTGTATTAAATATATAAGGTTTTAATCTACATGTGTTTGATAACAGAAACTAATAAAATACTCTCTAAATAAGAAAAAGTATGAAATCTAAGACAATAGTATAGCAAAAGGAAAACAACATATCTCCTTGTTTAAATGTGCTCATTTCATTTTGTGAACATTTTGTAGCAAGGCATAATGACAGCTGAAATATAACTTATCCTTTATAAACATGTCAAAATTATTTTTTGAAGTAAAACTCAATAAATAAGATTTTAAAACCCACATTTTGTGCCCAAGCATGTATTTATCAATTCCAAACTGCAAAAATAAAAATGAGAGTTAACATTTCATTGTCTGAATTTAAAAATACTTACACTATTGGCTTTTCCAGGCGGCTTCCCTGTGAACCAACAATCTCCCCCAATGTACAAAACACTTGTCCCAGAAAGTCCTAAAATAGACAAAAGAATTAAAGTTTATGAGTCCCCAGGCTGTCTTTATACTATATATTTTGTAAATCACACTGGCATTGCCTTCATTACTGAAACGCTGACTTCTCTAACTTCTAATATTAAATAAAATAAGCTCAAATGCATTCATTTTAGCAATGCGATTCTCCCCTAAGTTTATACAGCATTTTGTCCTTTTAATCCCAGGGCAGGTTTGTTACTGTGTTTAGACATTGCGTTCATTTTTCACATTAAAATGGAAATGGGGAAAAGTTCCACGATTTGAAGTCACCATCGGCTTGCCTTTGGATGTCTCTGGATCTGCTAAGCTTTTGGCTGAGGTGGCAAAGTGGGAACGCACAGAGCAGTGGTGGCTAACGGTGCCAGCGCCACTACAGAGAGGTCCTGGCTACAGCCGGTCCCGGAGCCACCTGCCACGTATCTTTCCAATATCACTTCCACTACCTGGGACTGTGCACATGATTTCTCACCAGTTTCCTCTTCTCTAACATGGATCAGCCCCCCTCACAAACTTGTTTTGAGGGTTCAATCAGTGTACTCCATGAGTTGATGTTAGTACATATGTAAGTGCCTGAAATTGGGTTAAGTATAAAACACTATAAAGTTCATTAGAGTACACTCGATGATTTTAATTTTCAAAATGCAAGATCTGTTATTAATGCTTCATTTCACATAAAAAGAAGCTAATCTTCTGGGAGGCTGATGTACCCATGTTTTAAGCAGTCTCTAAGCAGCAAAGTCAGAGCTAACTCGTATTCTACGTGGATATGCTGCCTAAGAAGTTAAATATCATAAATGCAATGCAGCTTCACATGCCAACAAAATAAGGGCTCCAACATCATCTGGATATTTTGGGCAAGAAATATGGAGATGGCTTAGGCAGAGCCACTTTCTAGTTGAGCCCGTATGTAACTGCGATCTGCCCTAAAGGAAAAAGTGGGCGATCTCCCTAAATTTGTGCAGTGAATGGGCCAGACAGAGCTCCAGAAAAGAAGGGAAAAAGAATGACAGCGAACAAAATGTTGTTTTAAGTCTTACTAAATAAAAATTTTAAATGACTAACAAGTCACAAAAGTAAAAGCAATGTCATTCAGTTAAAAAAAAAAAGTAGGGAAGTGAAGGAAGGGTGCTCTAGGGCCCATGAGAGAAAAAACCACTGTAGGCTAGGCTAGTCAGGGAGCTATTTTTCCCAAAGGAAGTAAGACTTGGGAGCCAGGTAAGAATAAGATCACAGAGAGGAGAAAGCTGGCCACTCTAGTCCTAGAGAACAGAGCAGAGCTATAGGCACATCCATAATGAGGAAAAACTGGGTCCAAGTTAAAAGGCAGAAATGAAGATGAAGAGCAAGACTGTGGAGGGTCCCTTGGCCAGGCAAAAAAAAAAAAAAAAAAAAAGTTTGCCTTAGGAAAATCAGAAGCATTCTGAAGATTATTTAGGTACCAGCTTGCAGAATGGACTGAGGAGGGAGGAAAACTCTGGAAGCCAGATCAATCAGAAGGCGATAGCAATTAATAAGAAGCATAGTGTTAAGGATCAAACTGAAGTTGTAGAAAATAATAGGAAACAGTGCACAGAAAAGTGACGGGATTTGGTATAAACTGTCCTTGCACATTGTGGGGAGGGGGTACAGTATTGAGAGGGAGAGAGAGACAGAAAATACTCTGGACCTGGAACGTGATGGCTGACGGAATGACAATACCTTCATAAAGTTGCAAATCATCTAAAATTTTGCTTTCAAATAGGTAAAAAGTACTTAAGGTAAAGCTGTCATATTTAAATTAAATATTCTTAGTAATTCTATGTCTTTTCCATTTTCAAACCGGACTTCAAAAATGTTTCTGGGTTTTTTAAGCAACCCTAAATTTTTCTAAGACTCACCGCATATAGTTAGGGTTAAAAACTAAAGATTTGGAATCTATCATTGCTCTTCTGAGTGAGCAGCAAAAATCACATATGAGGGATTCCAGAATTCTTTTCCAGAGATACTGATACTGATGGGAAGCTGCACATGCTACATATTAAAGGGTTCTGGACAATGGACTAACATGACTGCGTAAAAGTTATTCTGTGCTGTAGTTATCAAAGAAAATAAAACGGAAGTCTTGAGCATATTATCAATATCCGAGGAGACACATACTACTATCCAACAATGAACAGACAAATATCACCATTGCTGGACACAAAAAGGAAATTAAAATAATAAAATGTGCAACAAAAAGTTATAGAATGCACCTACATACATTATCTCCATAGTTATTGCACACTTTGTCCCTAAATATTTATGGCATTTTTGTAGTTGTTTTATACTGTCTCTGCTAGTGTATTCCCCTATCAAGGAACAGATTTACTACTCAAAATGCAAAGATCAGAATATAATATTTGTCAACACTGAACCCACTCTTTGGTCATCTCAATGGCTCACATGTCCTATGCATTTACACAATATTAGTAACATAATTAGTGTCCTATAATGGATATTCTTAAACAGTCTGTAGTTAGATAAATATAAAAATAAAATATAGGTATATAACATGAACTGCTTTATTATCTCTTACTGTGGGGTTTTTTTCCAGTTTATGAGTCATTATACTACAGTCATATTAGTATTTCCAGTAATAAATGTAGGTACCTTTCCCCAGCTCACACACATAGACCAAATGTAGTCTAGGGTGGCTGTCAGTTGAGAAAAACTTCAAAGTATTTAATCCTATTAACTCTTGGGCTTTTCCCAAACTGACCATGAGATCAATAAATATTTGTTGAGTTAACTTTTACTTTATAATCTAAATAATACACAGATAGAACTTAATTTTGAAATTAGTTTAGATGTACATAAACCATACTGCTATTACATATTGGATGCATTATATCACTCTGTAAAAAGCATCCACATGTTACCCTGAATCTCATATGCTGGTTCAAACGGAAAAACCTAGGTGTGAGAAGTGGAGACAAGAGGCATACAGCACAGCAATGCAAAGCATGATAACAATAATATGAGCTGTGCATTGCATAGGTAGTTAAAAATATTAACAAATCAGAGGGAGTGTTTGGATTATTCCAATACCAATATAATCTAGTTTTATTATTATTAGAGGCCCAATGCACGAAATTCGTGCAACAGCAGGCCTTCCTACCCCCGGCTGCTGGCACCAGCTTCCCTCTGGCACCCAGGACCCGGGCTTCCCTCTCAGCCCTGGCTTCATCCAGAAGGTCGTCCTGAAGGATGTCTGGTCTAATTAGCATATTATTGTTTTATTATTATAGATAACACAGCTCAAAATCCAGGGAAGCATTGCTATAGCATCAGATTCCAGCTAATTATTACATACATTTATGTTTCTTTTCTCTTCCCTGTTAATATTCAGGGGAATATCTACTTTAACTGAATAACTATATAAAGGAGCATAATATTCTAATTTCTTCAAAATTATTACTTTATTATTTCCTTTGTACCAATAGTTACTGATCAATTCTATGCATTTACATTTTATATAATGTAGCTACTTCTCTATGTTCATAAAAATTACATTAATTCTATGTGCTTTAATAATTCTACACATATTAAAAGGTAATACACTTTATGTTTTAAATAAACTGGTATTGTTTATTGGTCTCTTTGCTCACTTGCTAGTTACCAGTTTTAATGACTCCTATATGTTCTTTTAAAAAGATTTTTTACATACATTTATTTTTTTACATACCAAAGCAGTATAACATATTCCTTGACAGTGAAAATTATGAGGATCTATACTGTATTACCTGTGTTTATATTCTGGCTGACCATTTACTAATGTCTCTATGCATTAGTATCCTACTCTATAAAATAGACATAATAAATAATACCTAGCCTAACCGGTTTGGCTCAGTGGATAGAGCGTCAGCCTGCAGACTCAAGGGTCCCAGGTTTGATTCCGGTCAAGGGCATGTACCTTGGTTGTGGGCACATCCTCAGTAGGGAGTGTGCAGGAGGCAGCTGATCGATGTTTCTCTCTCATCAATGTTTCTAACTCTCTATCCCTCTCCCTTCCTCACTGTAAAAAATCAATAAAATATTTTTTAAAAAAATAATACCTTCATATTATATTGTTGAGAGGACTAAATAAGATAATATATGTAAAGCACTTAGAACAGAGACTTGGAACATGGTAAGTGTCTAAGAAATATATTCCCCTCTTCTCCTCCCTACTTCCCTGGGGTTAAAAGAATATTACCATACACTCAAAATGCATTACTTACTACTAGATGCCAGTACTTGAGATACACTACAATTATCTGAATAAAAAAATATATTTCTTTTCTAAAACTACTTTACACTCATGGTCAATATAAATGCTTATTTGGAGTGAGTGTAATTATAAAACCCGGCCCCCGTGGCATAGCTCGGTGGTTGAGCATCGACCTATGAGCCAAGATGTCACAGTTCAATTTCCAGTCAGGGCACATCCTGGGTTGCGGCCAGATCCCCCATTGCAGGAGGCAGCTGATCAATGACCCTCTCTCTCTCTCATCATTGATGTTTCTACTCTCACTCCCTCGCCCTTCCCCTCTGAAATTAATAAAAATATAAATAAATAAATAATAAAATCCAAATGTGTCTTATACACCAACTTTATCTAATATCTTAACTAATATCCTAATATATAAAAAGCCAGGGGCCATCACGACCAAAACAACTGGATGGATGACCAAACAGCAGGCTGCGTGGGGTGACCAGGCCAGCAGGAGGTGCAGTTGGGGGCGAGCAGGCCGGCAGAGGGCAGTTGGGGGTGACCAGGGTGGCAGGGGGGCAGTGAAGGGAGACCAGGCTGGTGGCATGGCAGTTAGGGGCGACCAGGCCAGCAGAGGAGGGCAGCTGGGGGCAACCAGGACAGCAGGAGGGTATTGAGGGGTGACCAGGCCGGCAGGGGGGGCAGTTAGGGGTGACCAGGCTGTCAGGTGAGGGTTGTTGGGAGCAAGATCAGGCAAGCAGGGCAGGGCT